ATGGACTTTTGCCAGAAGTGTTTCTCACAGGGCTTCCACAGCAGGCTTCCTCATGCAGAACCTAGACAATCTCAGCAAGAGGCCGAGAGTCAAACTTTTCTAAGAAGAAGCGTTTCCTGAAAAGAAAGCATTGTGGAAATGTACATGTTTGGGAAATTTCCCAAGGGAGCTCTGTGGCTGGACCTACCCACGTGCCACATTCCGGACACTCACACTGCCACGGAAGCCTTATTTATCTTCTCCCTGGAACCCACATTCCCATGGATTCGGCCAGCACTCTAGGTGCTATTTAGTCATTTAGATTATTTATATACAAACAAAAATTAGGACAAAATATTAAGAGTTCAAAAAAATTTTTTGAAAAGTTTTAGGAATATAACTATATCATTATAAACATATAGTATTTTGATAATGATTTGTTAGTTCTTAACGTGGCTTCTTATGTACTGTCCTACCTTTTGTAACAATAATGCAGTCCAACCCACTGGGCTGACGCATTACATTTATGTTAGAGATGCAGAATTTCTCAGTATTATTTGCCTAAATGGATGTAGGATTCTGGAGTTCATTGTTACACAGCATCCCTAAGAGAAAATAACAATAAAAAAAGATTTCTGGAATAGAGATCAAAGTCCAATTCAGGAATATACAGCTAACAAATGTTACCTACTTAGAGTATGTATTTCTTTCTCTCCCTTTCTCTTTCTTTCTTTCTTTCTTTCTTTCTTTCTTTCTTTCTTTCTTTCTTTCTTTTCTTTTTTTTTTTTTGTATTTTAGAGAAGGGTCTACAGGTTGTACAGGGTCTCACTGCATAGATTGGTCTCCTAGTGATCCACCTGTTTACAGCCTCCCAACAGCTGACAGGCACGCACCACCATGACCAGTCTCAATTGCCATCTCAGCATGCCCAGGGGGCAGGGACAGCATGGCAGGAACAGGGATCGAAACCCTGGACCCTGCTCCTGCTTGCAGGTGCTTTAATCTGCTGAGCTATTTGGCCAGCATTTTAATCCACTGAGTTATTTGGCTGGCTGTTAGAGTATGTATTTCTCTTGAAGTAGTACCTTAAGTTCTGTTTGAAAAATGGTCAGGCAGTCCCACCAAAACTACAGGATAAAAAATTGATTTTTCTGATTTTATAACCCTATCCACTAACTGCTGCTTTTCCTGTGATAATTATTACAATTTTTAATTCAATGAATTTCTTAACTTTTATTTTCCTACTTTAAACTCTGTACTTCATCAGTGTTGATACTGTTGTAAAATATTTCCACATCATTCTAAACACACACGTGCCTCTGAACTAACCACACTTGTGAACAGCGTATGTTGTAAACCTTAGAAAACCTGGGCTTGGCCACTTACTTCTGAAAAGGGCTCAAAAGCTCACCAAGCAGTCAAAACCTGAATGAACAGACTGGAACAACCCTAACAAAGAATGTCTAAATGACAGACTCGAAAAATATCTCAACTGTTATGTTTACTTTTGTCCCCTTAAACTATAGAGGAAATAAAAACCACATATACAGACATTTCAAAATCTTGTTTAAAACCAACACTTGGGGGAAAAAGCCTACTTGATTTAAGAACCATCTCAGCATGCAATTATGGTCAACTTCTGAATTATCTAAGATTGATTTCCATGTTGTATAATAAAACTATGTTTATATTTCATGTTTAGGTGCCGTTTTCTTACCACTCCACAGTATGTCAATTAATAATAACAGTCCTAATAGAAAACATTTTCTATTGTAGGACATTTATTACTATTTTAGTTATCCTCATTTTATAAAGGAAAGACATTGTAGCTCAAAATCATAAAATAAATTATCAAAAACAAAGATTTTTGTTTTTGATAATTTATTTTATCACACACACACACACACAGGAATGCTGGCAAAATTAAATATTAGTAGAACATATTTATCCATCAATGTGATTTAAAAAAAATAAAAATGCTTTTGGAATATTTTGCTGAGTTTACACACCTATAATATTTAAATGATGGAACTTAACAAAAGGGATTACAGATGAATGTCCATTTTGTAGCTGTGCATTCAAGTGGTTAGGATAGATATATAGTTACATTTTCTTAATGAATAGAGGGATTTGCTCTAATAGTGTTGGTAAATAAGATATCATGTCCGCATCTTGTACAGCAATTAACCACTAGGAAGAATGTATGCAATGTGTTAATTACTGAAACTGTCCTACCAATTTGGTTTGAAACTGTCTCATTGGTATTTGTTTTTCAATAAAATTATGGAAAAGATGGCAAATAATAATTTGAAAATGACAGTAAAGATTTAGTAAAGGAAGTCATTGCTTTACACTGGGATTATAATCTAAATTATATTCGTAGGGTCAGTTTTCTGGAACTCTGAACATACTGTGTTATAGCTGAAATTTATGTTGACAGGTAACCTCATAACAGTGAATAAAAAGCCCTGCCCACTTCCTGTCAGCGGCTCCCATGGGTGGACTCCTGGATGTTGGTCTGCCCAGTGTGCTGAATCAGACACAGTCCAAGAAGGCTTTCCTTTCCCAGCATGTCCATACCAGCTAAGAGGGCTTGAAATGGATCTTCACGTGGTAAGGACATAGAAGGGTTTGTGCCTGACGTGCACAGAAGCTGTCTTAGTCACCTAGAAGCACAACAAAATATTGTAGACGGGTGCCTTAAGCCACAGGACGGTGCTTCCCAGAGTCCAAGGACCGGCAAATCCCGGAGCGAGGGCCACGGGAGGGCTGTCTTCCTAAACTGCAAATGATGGCTGCCTTTCAGAAGTCCTGATGCGGGCCATTCTCTGCGTGCACAGGAAGCTCAAGAGAGATGACCCCTCATTTTCCTCCTATTACAGGAGCATCATTCTTACTGGATGAAAGCTGCAACCTTATAACCTGTTTGAATGCTGATCAGTTCCAAAACCCTTATCTCCTATTACCTTTCCATCTCTGGTAATGGAAACAAATTAAAACTTCTGAATAATTATCTAAAATTGCCTATTTCATTTTGTTTGATGCTATTTAGAAAAAAATATGCTTTTTATGTAATTTATGTAGCTATATACATCCAAAGTAAATGTTCTATCTGCTATTGATGAAACAGCATTTATTCTAATTTAATAGTAAAATGACCACCTTACCGTTAGCCTTAGTATACCAGAAACACAACAAAATTACCACCTACTAATAACTTCAATACACTAAAATCCCTGTTTTCATCCAGCAGTAAAAAACAATTGAGGATAAAGAATTTTCTTACTGCTTTTCTAAAATCAGCAATCAGAGGTTTTATTCTATTGATTTCTTTTATATTTAACTGCTTATTCTTTCCATATTTATAAAGCTAAAAGTGTTTTTAAATTGGAAAAGTAATAGTTCTTTCAAAAATATAAAAAGAATACATCAAATACTGAGTCGACGGGTGCCTTAAGCCACAGGATGGTGCCTCCCATAGTCCAAGGACCGGCAAGTGAATTTAGAAGCAATCAAAATTGCACATCGTCTTGTACGCACACAGTATGCACAGTATAACTGAACGCAGTGTGTGACTGTCTGTATATACTCACATGTGAATGGCCATACTACATACGTGGCCTGATAACGTCCACCCTCACTGAATTTGCAACATTGATCTTTTTCTATACTGATCTGCATAATCTTATTTAATGAGTGCATAAAATGTTTGTGGGATAATTATTTTACCATTCCCATGTTTATGAACAATTAAATAATTTCTATTTGGGCAGTTGCAAACATCAGTGCAATAAGTATATTTTTAATTTAATGTGTCATAATGTCCTTAATTATTTCTTTATGGAAAATTAATAGTAAAGGTGTTATCAGAACTAAGGCTTGTATATACATTTTTGAATATATTAATACTTATTAATTAATATGCTGAATATAATGTCCATACTTTGTTCAGGAGGATATAAAATATTTATTCATATATTTGCCTATGAGTGAGAAAGTTTGTGTTGCATTAAAATTTAATCAGTTTTTGATTTGAATTTCTTCAAGTATTATTGTGGACACTGCAATATGCTCAAATTAGAAAGCTGCTTTACAGTCTGTAAGGAT